GTGAAGGAAGAAGAAATCACCCACTATTATGTCCAGCCCAAATCGCCAGAGGATCATTCAGTTCCACAACTAGCCACACAACCAGCTCCACCCTCACAGGGAGAGGGGAGACCTAAAAGATCTAGAGGCAAGAGGGATAAGCAGGAGTCATTACCCAGGTCGAAGAAAGCCACCTCTTATACTTACACATATGGCAGTGGAAGTTCCCGAAGCTCGTGTAAGAGGAACCAGGTGGAGCTCACCCCTCTACAGGCAGCCATGATTGAGGAGAGGAGGAAACGTGGAGAATTACAAGAGACCCAAATTCAAATCCAGGAGGAACAAGCCCTAGATGGCCGGACTCTAGAACTGGACAGGCAAGCACAAGCCGCTTTGACGGAGAGAGAGAGGATGTCCCGATCTCTGACTCTACAGTGACGGCTGCGGAGAGTTCAACGAGAATTGGAAGAGGCTCGGCTAATAACCTCATTCACCGTAGAAGTGACCATAGAACATCCAACTGCTCTGCCATCACCTCGAGAGTTGGTTCCTTTTTCAATGAGCTCCAGAGTTTTGGATTCAGGTGAACCTGTCAACCTGGTTTCGGAGCAGCAAGCTCCCTGTGTTAGTCCTCAAATATCTGTCTCCGATTCCGTTCCAGTGAATCAGCCAACCACTTCGTTCCAATCTTTACCTCAGCATGTGAATCCGGTGAGTCAGGCTGAGACTCTCCCGCCTGTTCAAGGGATCCACCCCGCAGTTCCGACGTCTAGTCCAGAGCAGACAACTCCTTCACCTCCTTTGTTCCTCCATTTAGTGCGGACCGTACCTCGTCCTGCCCAGATTCAAAGACCCTCAGATCCAGTTCCTAAAATGCCTGCACCTCTTTCCTTGCTTAAGCCCAATGAAAGGACCTCAGAGGGAGCTAGTATCATGGAGCTGTTAGTAGCCACTGCTTTTGGCATTCCCAAGCCAAAACTGCCTTATTTTGAGAGTGGAAGAGAAAGTGACTTTGTTTTGCTTAAAATGGCATTGGAGAATCTGTTAGATATTCATGCTCACCTCTCTGAATAATATAAGTTCCAGGTTTTAATGGACCACTTGAGACTGAACCCTACTGCGTACAAGCTAGCAAAGTCTTATATGCACGCCTCAACTCCCTATACATCTGCTCTTGCTGCCCTTAAGACAAAGTATGGCCAGCCACGGCAGTTGGTCCAAAGTGAACTAGCTGACATCCTTCATTCACCACCTGTCAGATTCGGAGACAGCCATACATTCCAAGATTTTGCTCTTTCTGTACAATCATTGATCGGCATGCTGCGGTCGGTGGACGGTGCAGGTGGAAGTGAGTTGCGGTGTGGCTCTCATGTTGACAGGCTACTAACCAAGCTTCTTCTTCATTACCGGGACAGTTTCGTTGAGCACTGTTTGAATCGTGGCATCCTGAAAGATGGCGCAAAACAAACATATACCTTAGAAGACTTCTCTGCCTGGCTCCAGGTGAAAGCCAGGGCCAAGAGTATTGCCCAACAAGTTTCAGTCCCTGCTTCAATGGAAAAACGAGAGCCAGTCGAGAAGAGTCAAGGGAGAAGGGTGACGCCTACCACTATGTTCCTAAGCAACACAGCCACTGTGGAAAGCCAGCCAAGTGTTCAAGGAGGCTGTAGGATGACCATCCTTGGTAAACCCAAGTTCCAACCTTTCTGTCCATACTGTAACAACAACGACAACTTCCTGGGAACCTGTCCAAAAGTGAAAGAGTTTAGCCCATTGGAACTGAGAACTTTGGATAGAGAAGAATGATCGTTGCTACAGATGTGCCCGCTGCCATAAGCCGGATAAATGCACCCTAAAAAAGCCTTGCAACACCTGCAGCGGACTGCATCTCACCATCCTGCATAGCATTGCACGTCAACTGGCCACACACCCACAACGCCCAGAGACCTCGGCTACAGCAGACATTCTCAATGTGCTCATCCGGGAACCCTGTATTGAGGGCACACTGTACATTGATCAGCCAAACCGATCTCCTTGGGTGATGTTGAAGGTAGTTCCGGTCTTACTCATCAAGGCCCGGCAGAGGCTGCAGACGTATGCCATACTTGATGATGGCTCAGAACGAACAATCATTCTAACCTCTGCAGCGTCCCAGCTACAACTTAAAGGCCCAAAAGAGAGCCTTAATCTCAGAACCGTGCGGCACGAAGTAATTCCCATGAGTGGTGAGACCATCTCCTGTCATATCTCCCCAGTAAGCCAGAGGAAGAAGAAGATTAGTTTTCCTATAACCAATGCCTTTACTGCCCTAGTCCTTAACCTGGCTGAGCATTCTTGTTGTGCCTCTGACCTGCAGAGGGAATATTCCCACCTGCGAGGCTTACCCTTACCGGACTTTGTCCATGCTCAGCCATTAATCTTAATAGGCTCAGATCATTCCCACTTGTTGGTGCCCAACGAGCCTGTCCGTATTGGACCTTATGGAGGACCCATCGCCGTTCATACTGCCCTGGGATGGGCTGTTCAAGGCCCATCCAATGCCGTACCTCGATCTCCTCTTTCGACTGCACAAGCCTTGTTCACTCTTTGTGATCGTGTATCCTGCCCGGCTACTGTGGAGTTGATGGAGAATGTGGAGAGACTGTGGAGACTGGATTCCTTCCCACACCGTACAGAGAATGAAGTAACCCGATCTAAACAAGATAATGTTTGCCTGGAACTGCTTGAGACTAAGACTGCCATTAAAGAAGTAGGCGAGGTATTGCGGTATGCTACCCCACTGCTCAGAGCAGTGGGGTAGCATTCGTGACTATTTGCCTAACCTACAACCCAGAGGAAAGTGGCTGAGGGAAGTCCAGAATCTCGAAGTAGGGAAGACTGTTCTGATCTTTGACCCACAACTGCCTCGGGCCTCTTGGCCAACAGGGCGTGTCACCACCGTCACGACCGGGAGGGATGGGCGTGTCCGGTCAGTGGACGTCCAAGTTGGCAGTCGGATTTACACAAGACCAGTGTCACGTTTGATGGCGCTTCCGGAGCTGGCAGAGGAATGAGTCTTTTTCCCAGGAGGAATTGATCCCAATTCCGGGGCGGCTATGAAAAGACTGCTGCCCTTCTATTCCCTTTCAACTCCATTTTGCTCTTTCAATGATACTTTGCCACCTGTCACCTGGCCACGCACACCTCACCTGTTGCCTATAAATTGATTGTGAACCCTTTGGCTCATTCTTTGCACTCTCTCCTGGCACTCTGATGCATAACTGTGTGCATCTTTATGAATTACCACATAGACAATGCATTGACCCAAAGTCAACCTGCATGATGCAATAAAATACTACTGGTGTTGAAAAAAGTCCTTGCCTTCTCCCTGCCTCATTCATCGTTCCATATCATTTTACGTCTTCTGACCGAGACTCTGTTTGCTCACCAAACCTCACTCTACCTGAACCATTTCCATCACCCTACAGTTCCTACAGTGGGTTGCTTCATCAAGTTCATTTTACTCACTTTAAGTGCTTATTGGTATAATGTATTGACAAATGGTAGCCTTCACCTAATTTCTTTTAGCTGTTTAATTTAATCTTTACTCAACACATGGAATGAAATCTACCCAAACGAATTGATTGCAAATTACCTCAACTTTGAGTAGATTCTGTAGGTTTGTTTTTACAGAATTCGTAATATAGAATCAAATTAAATCAGTTTGATTCAGATGAGCCAAATAGACTCATATCAAATCTGAGCTGCCTTGAACTTATCGTCTGCCACTTTCATTGACTTTAATGAGTAACTTTTCATAAAGCACCTGCTTATTGGGGTATCCATCAATATGGACAATATTTGGGCACTCTGTTGTGTTGATTTCATGGCACAATCCTTTTCACAATCTCATTCTGTCTCTCAGCCTCCTGTTGTTCCTTGGAGCATGATGGAGTGTTTTCATTTTCATCTTGATCATCACCAGAAAAATGCTGCTCATTAGGCCTAGTCTTTTGATAAATGGCAAGACAACGTCATATTTTGTGGGAAATCATACAGTGGTCCATCTGGTTAAAACCTGGTTAGACTTTTTCATGTCTGGTGCTGCTGTGGGACTAGTCCTGATGGTTTAGCTAAATAATACAAAGATGTCTGGAAAACAATCTCATCTGGCTCAGTCAAAAAAAGATTAAATGTTCGAAGCTCCCAACAATCTTGCTCATGAAATGCAATTTTCGCAAATAGCGCTGGATGTGTGGAACCTGAAATACATATTTTCACTAAACAATCAGCAGTAATATGCCAGCATACGTCGATTTTCTTTTTTGAATGACTTTTATTTTCAATATCATTTCCCCAGTCCAAATAACACCCCATAATCATTTTACAAACATTTGATGGTGTTTATAGAAAGACAGCCCATTTCATTTTAACATCTTATTAATAGCAACTTGAGAGAGTACTAAATGTACAGATTCATTCTGATGACAGCTGCATTTACAGTGGCCAAAACACAGAGAGCTTTAGAACAAGAATCAAAATCAATGTCACCTGGAAATGTAACTTTACCAATACCTACAAAAAGAGAAAGAGAGAGACTCAAAGACACAAAATAAAAGTACACAGCACTATTTCGACACAGAGACTGTTAGTTCATACAGCATCCGTGTATGTGTTTTCATGTGTTTTCTTGTTTATTGTGTTGTGTACTATATTCATAGATCTTATATAAAAGCAAAAGAGGTACTCATCGATATATTAGACACAAATATAAAAAGTTAAGGTACACAAAGTACAAAGTTTTTTATTTCTATGGCAACAACAGGACATGTGTCAGGTTGTTTTCGACTGGAATATGGAGCAATGTAATAAATTGTTCCTGCAGCAAATCAAAAGCCAAAGACCATCTCAGATACTCCCTGACTAAGCCTCAGCAAAGAGTTTCCGGTTTCTATGTTTAAGCGCTTTTTACGGATCTCTGTCACACAAGGAGGAATTTGGCATAATCTCTCCTGACAGCCCTGGGCTTTTTTGGGGGGGTGGGGTGGGGGGTTGGGAGTACGTTCTGCACCATATGAAACCTGTCATTGTGAAACATGACTCTGCAAATGTGCGTTGCTAATAATAATAATAATAATAAAAATAAAAAAATCTAACAGAACCGAAGCCAGATTCCTGTTCGTAAACATTAAATACTTGTCTTTTATAAAATAACATGTTCATAGATAGATGATGCCTGAGTATAGTACAACATGAAAACAAAAAATTACAACACAACAAAATAAGCCTTTACAATAAGCAGTGAGTGATTTACATGTCAACAATGAGGAGGGCTCTTATTTAGAAGCATTTTTTTCATATATATATATATAAGAAAAACAATATATTGCACTGGACTCAGCAGGTACAATTCAGAGAACGTTCTGATGAACTCTTAATGAATGAGAAAGCACATTCAGGTGTAACGCACAGATGAAAAAGGTCAATTGATAATTTCGCTAAGCTCCGCCCCCTTTGTTACCCGTTGCCCACTCAGACAAGCCTTACAGAACCTACCATAGGAAGTGATTGGAGATTTACATAAAAATTATGACTTGCAGTTAAATACAAAAAAAATATTCTTACATGGGATGGAATGAAAATTGCAAATTATGGTCATCCCCCATTTTTTAAAAAGGGATTGGGGGATTTGGGAAAGGGATTTTCCATTCTTTAAGGGATAGTTCACCCAAATGAAAATTCTGTCATTAATTACTCACCTTCATGTTGTTCCAAACCCATAAGACGTTCGTTAGATCTTTGAAGATCTTTATGATGAAATCTGAGAGCTTTCTGTCCCTCCATAAACAGCTACGCAACTACCACTTTGACGCTTCAAAAAATTTATAAAGAGATCATAAAACTAATCCATATGAATTGAGCCATTTAGTCCAAATTTTCTGAAGAGACACTATTGCTTTGGAAATTTGAGTTTGGAATGACATGATGGTGAGTAATTAATGACAGAATTTTCATTTTTGGGTGAACTAAACCCATAAGGATCTATTTAATTATGTAATAATGTTATGAAATCTAGGCAAAGTCAAGGCTAAATGACTAATGTTTTACTATAATATAATATAATATAATATATGGACATTCTATATTAAATTTTTTATTTCCTTAAAACTGCATTTAAAACTATCCAAACACACTTCAATAAACTTAAAGTAGAGCAAATGCTTGTCTTATGGCAAATGGCAACAGTTGCTAAGGTAGAATAGGTCAGTAGTGTTTAAGGCGGGGCTTAGCACAGAGTCAATTAACCTTTTATCCAGCTGAATATAATTCAACTGATTCTGAGCTCTGTGTCAAGACTGAAGAGCAAATCAACATTCCACACTCAGTCAAACTCCAGACATGTTTATCAGACTCACAGCACAAATCTTCTCCTCCTGTGCCGGCAGTCACATGGGCCTGTCGTCTGTTCAGGTTTATTGTTTTTTTTTTTAATTGACGTTCAGTTTATTGAGCTGTCGACTGAGATGATTTGGAGCCATTTTCCTTCTCTGGGAGAATGAGAATGACAAACATCTGAAGTGTTTTTTAATACAATTTAACCAACAAAACAAAAAGTGTCTCATTTAGCACATAGTTCTTCGGATGGATTTCGAACTGCCAATCTGCCGGACAATCAAGTAAACAAAAAACAATCTTACTCTAGAAACCGGCAAAATGCCTTCAATGCATCTCCCATGAAGATTCCTAGTGACGCAAGTGACCTGGAATATCCTAATTATTAAGACAACTACAGCTACAGCAGAAACAAGTGTTTTTGAGGCTTGGCACAACGTCTGTAACGTCTGCAGCGACTTATGCAATGTAAACAAAAACCTTTTTCAAAGCTTTTTCCACTGATCCTGTGAAAAAAGAAAGCTTACAAAAAAAAAATCACACAAGATAGAATAAAGGTAAATATATAGAAAAACACATTTACACATGTACATAATACAGAGCTTTAGTGTTCCATATGATATATGATTATTAAATATCTAACCTGATTGGCCAGTGTGGTTCACATGAACTGGTAAACTGGTCAATTAATTATGGACAATTGGGGGGGGGGGGGGGGGTGGGGGTTGACATAACTTTATATGTATTGCTGTCTTCTGAATATGAAAACAGGAATCACAACTCTCTACTGGTTATAAACATTTTGAGTAACATCTGAAAACCTATGATTAAATTTACTCCAAGACGATTCACTTTCAGTGACAGACTATTGCAAACAACTATTTTCCTCTTTCACAGTGTTTGCCTTTGTACAATATGTAATTGTAACCATTAAACATCTGTTTTTGGGATAAAATTATAGTTATCCTCCCTCTTATTTTCTATACTTATGTACAGAATACTGCTAGCCACAATGGAGCTCTTTGGTCTAGTGATGCTCGAGTAGAGTGTTGTGATCTCAGACACACACACGCACGCACGCATGCACGCACACACGCGCACACACACACACACACACACACACAACTCCAAATTGTTATCTATTTCCACTGGCTTTATCAATAACTGAAACTGATTGGCAAGATTCGAGCTGTTTGTATATAACTGCATTTTTGATTGCTATTAAAATGATTGGCACTAGACGTTACTGTTTCTGCTGATGGAATATTTGCCTTTCAGTCAGTTCTCCTCAAATAAATCAAACTGTGAAAAACAATAAATAATAAACTATTAGCTTAAATTAAAAAGTAGAACGTAGCACACAAAGAAAGGGACATTCATGATTTTGTTTCAGATTCCAATATAGAAGTAAACTAATTAAATCAAGTTGGCACAAATTACTAGGCACAAAAATCAAGTAAACATACAATATTTTGTTCTTTTTGAGCTACGCACAAAGCTGATAACTGTTGAATGTTGTCTTTATTCAAATTAAGCTTTGAAATTAAAATGTTGAGGTTTATTAGCTATTTTGTAATGTTCTAATAGGTAACTGATTGTGTTATTTAGGATCGACCCTCAAACTAACGGCTCTCTGAGGGTCTGTGAGTCCGTAAACATGATTAACCAGTGCATGTCATTTCTCATCGGTGATAAGAAACTGAAACTCAACAAGCGTCTGAAGCATGGCTTTGGCAAATCAAATAAGCTTTGAATGAATACTGAATCTGGCATCCACATTGTTTGGTAGCTTTAAAAAAAAAAAGGAAAGAAAAGAAAAGAAAAACCCTTTAACATTTCATTGAACTTCCACTCGCAGATTAACAGTCCAGTTAAATTAGGTCTGTCTGACTCATTAGTAACCTCGTTTGTATAAAAATAGAGACTATTCCTTTAAAACGGGGTCTAGTAACAATGTAGTGAAATTAAAACCTGGGTATTGTACTATTCCTCACTGGGTTCATTTTTTACTCTTTTTTTTTCATCTAAATGACTAGTGCTCCATATAAATATTTTTTGGAAATTTTTAACACGATTCCTCAGCTATTTCAAAACATATTTCAAATACATATGCATACTTTTTATACAAAAACGGATGACAGATTGATATTGGGAGACAGTCACTGAAATTACTTGATGTTGTGTCAGTAATTTTCCACGAAACTGAACGCGTCCCATCTATATATGTAGTGGCACATAATGGCATTATTGGCACAAAGTTCAGGAGAGTGTTTTCTCCACACAAGCAGACGTGTCGTGTCAGAGAGCGTCCCCGCGGCCTCTCCGCAGCCGAACTCCACTCCAGCACACCCACATGTGCAGTAATACACGTATATAATATATCAGCTCTATATCATCTCTAAAATGATCACATGTCTATGGAAAATAATTTGGGAGTGGTTCCATAACACTGCATCAGTCTAGAAAAATAAACATCTTCAGTCCATTTCTAGAGAGATCCAACATTTGTACAAAACTGCCAGTTCGTCTCAGTTCCCATCTCTGATTGCTTGTCGTTGTTGTTCTTGTGGTTTTGTTTTGCTTTATTGTGTTTTAGTCTTTTTGTGTTTGATTCACAGATTTTCCAATGAGATCCTGAAAGTACAGAACATTCAATTTTAGTTGAGTTTGAATATTAAACTGGCATCACTTTTAAAGGGTTAGTTTACCCAAAGAATTTAATTCTGTCGAGTCATTAATTACTCACCCTCATGTCGCTCCAAACCCGTAAGACTTTTGTTCATCTTCGAAACACAAATGAAGATCTTTTTTTGATGAAATCTGAGTGCTTTCTGTCCCTCCATTGACAGCCTACGCAACTGAAAGTTTGACGCTTCCAAATGTTCATAAAGAGATCGTAAAACTAATCCAGTTGAATTGAGTGGCTTAGTCCAAATTTTCTAAAACCTGATCGCTTTATATGATGAACAGATTGAATTTAGGCTTTTATTCACATATAAACATTCATCAACTCACACATCAGTTGTGGTAAACGGAGCTGGTAGTTGTGTAACTGTCTATGAAGGGATAGAAAGCTCTCAGATTTCATCAAAAAGATCTTTATTTGTGTTCCGAAGATGAACGTCTTACAGGTTTGGAATGACATGTGGGTGAGTAATTAAATGACAGAATTTTTGGGTGAACAATCCCTTTAAATAGAACAAGACTTGATAGTGTATAACTTAGTAAATAAACTACTCTAAAAAATATATATATATATAATGCATTACCTTACATGTTACAACTTGAAATGTTAAAAAATATGATTATGTTAAAAATATGTGTATGTAGAAATGAACATTAAACTAGATTAATTAATTGGTAACACTTTACAATAAGGTTCTATTTTTTATTATTAGTCAACTATTAGTAAACTAACAATTAACAATACTTCTAAATAATTTCTTAATCTTAAATGTTAATTTCAACATTTACTAATTCATTACTAAAATCAAAAGTTGTATATGTTAATATGATTATTGAACCTGAGGTAACTAACAGTCAGCAGTTGTGTTTTTGTATAACTGATGTTAAAGATAAATACAGAATTAATTGGTAACAAAGACGTATTAACAAAGATTAATAAACACTGTAACATATGTATTGCTCACTGTTTATGTTTGTTAACACAAACTAATGGGACCTTATTGTTATTGTGTAAAACAAATGACTGTGGTTCATTGTTAGTTCATTTTACCCAATATAATGGAAGTGTTACCATTGTATATCACCTAATATTTATGCTGTTGGTGTATGGAGGATACAATTTTTGAAAGTATATGAGCTACAGTACAAGCCTGCAACTCATTTAAATTCTATGACTAGTGAACTATTCTTTTTGAACCCCGAAGAACTGTGAATTTCTAGAAAGTACACAAGCACTGGAAAACCATGCCAAAATTACACCATTGTGAATTTTAGAGCCAAACGAAATATAGTACATACCAGGGCACAAACTGAAGACGTGGGCTCAACCCAAAGGTAGTAAAAGGGCCTCAACAGGAGATCTCGAACCATTTCTCAGACACAAAGGCCACAGGGATTAGCTGCCTTTCAGTGGGCGACGGTCTGAAATAGACAGACAGATCAGCTCTTCAATCCTGCAGATATAAGCACTTCTGTCCCACTCCCTGATTCAAGACTCTCTTTTTTAAAATGGCATTATACCACAGACAAAAGCGCCCACAGTTACATTTCCTCTAAACCCTCTCATCTAGGTTTTGTATTCTGAAGCATACAGTATTAAATGAAGCAGCACTGAAATTATTCATACAATTTAAGCCCATACTCAGTCTTTTATAAAGGCGAGGGCAATGGAAGGACAGAAAACAAGACTACACAACCGTCTCAACATGCTTATCTGAAAAATAATGACTCTCTGGCAGATTAAACTGGTTATTTGCAAAATGCACATTAAAGACTAAATTATTCTATTATTGACGATTGTAGCGAAGAAAAATATGAACCTATATATTTTCAAACAAAGACACATTTAAAAACAGTTTGAATGGAATAGAATGCAGGGCTTTTGAGACCACTGCATTTTAAAAGTTTTATTGAACTTGACAAGCTGTCATGAATAGCTCAAAAATAGCTCATGCAGCATGAGACAATATGCAATGCCAAAGAGTCTGTCTGCGTGTGAATGGCTGCAGTGGTGGTGCACTAAAGAGGATGAATTAAACTTTTCTGAGAAGGTTTTAACATGCAAACTGTCTATAAGCTAAAACACAGCTTGATAGTTAAAAGTCCCACTGTTAAAAAAATATAAAAGACTAAATATATCAAAAAGAATATAAATAAATTAGGTGACCTTGGATGACTTGGATTGTGAAATTTAGTTTAAAAATGGTAAACTGCCAGGGTCAAATATGCTGTGCACTTTAAACATCTGTGCATAATATGGTCAAGTTTTCAGAATGAACATTATTTCTGTCAGCACTAAACACTCTAAGCTATGAGGAAGCCAAACCCTGTAAGAAAGTACGGACAGGGCTGTCAATGCAGTCGACTCGCTGTCCAAACAACTTGGTCAGCAGCTCCAACATCCAG